AAATAAAAGTTTATCAAGTAAAGTCTAATGTTACAACTAATCAGGGATCCCTTTAAGACAACACAGTTTTCACACAGCAAACGATTTGATTGAGGCTTACTTTTCAGTCCGAGCTTCTATCTGCCTGTCATRAAAGTGCTGTCAGGAAGTGACAGACAGAGCTGTGTACCTTAGTGCTTATGTATTAATAGTAAACTACTGGGTGAATGTATGTTGTGAGTTATTGTGGAGAAGAGACCATTTTGTAGTTACAAACGCTRAGGTCTCTATGTAAATGTCATTGTATTGAACAAATTTAACAAGCTCAAAAAGCAGATTTACAGCTTTATTAAAGATATTTATGAAAACTCACGTCTATGATTTTRAATGACAATTTAACACAAATCAGTTTAAAGCATTGGGTCTGTATAACAGCATACTTTTTCTTTGAATTTGTTCAATGCAGGAAATACCATGTAGAGCTCAGGTATTRTTTGTTTTCTCAGCCATAGCAATGAGACGAGGAATGTGATGTTTCATGTTTAGTTTAGTTAAACACAAAACATCTTCGTAATTTAAACCTGACCCTTTGAGGGTCACCATGATGCTGATGTGGGCCTAAGCAAAAAAAAAAAAAAAAAAAAAAAATCACATCACCGTCTTGTTTCAAAGGCTTTAAAAAACAGTCTACCTCCAGTCCCCAGAGCCTGGATTAATTGATATCAGTTTGTTCCTGAGGACTGCAGCTCCGGTGATTAAAACCAGCTCCCGGTGAATCAAGCAGAGCGGTGACAAATTAGGAGCATGTGAGAAACTGTCTGCGTGAGCTGGCTTTAGAAGGGCCACTCGCAGACATTAGGGTCAAGACAGTGTGCGGGCTGTTGTCCCTTTCAAAATAACAACCAAGAGTGCATGCTATGTGACCTTTCATCCAGCCAACATTAATCTGATCCATTACTTGTCAGGCAGGCCAGTGACTGTATTGTCATCCGTCAGAATGTGTGTCCTCCTGCTCCATTTAGCTACAAAGTCCAAACAGTTGGCCTCATTCAGCTTCACCTTTGACATTTAGGTTCAACAACTGAAATCGGGCTTTGGCAGAGTTAAAAAAGCACAGAAATTCTCCCAGGACAGCTTGTTTGTTGGACAAACCAATTCCGTTTGTCCCGAGTTTTCTGCCGATGACCCCACGTTCTGCCTCAGAGTTTACTTCAGAAAATTTGCTCTAGAGCCACATTTGCCCTGTAGAAAACTGATGAGGTCACCTGAGCTTTTATCAGCTCAGCATAATATTCAAGCARGACTGTGGGAAAAACATGGTCAGATGAAAGACATGTCATTGTCAAGATGTAGATTGACCATAAACAGCATTAAAAGTAAGGAAATTTGTGTTGGTAGATTACTTATTTGTTGTAACAATGCTTCTTGGGAATAAATCTCAAACTCAAATTTCCCTTTTAAGTAGTGCAACATTTATAAGGAACATGCATTTGTGGGATGAGCAATAAAGCTTGTGCTGTATGTGAGTTGTGCACAATGAAAAATKTGCCAAATCTTCTTTTGACAAACAACTTATTTTGTTGTTAGTATTGACAGTTGTTACGAGCTTCTGGTCCCACCAGGTGCTGCCACTAAATCAGGGGCCTGGTACTTGTTGCCAAGTAGCATTGTTACAACAAACAAATAATCTACCAAACACACATTTTCTTACTCTTATTGCTAAGTAAGTTTWTATATATTTTAAATACCTGCACATCTGGTTCTGTGGTACCTGACATTTAACCGGGATCACAATAAGCATTGAGCACTCTTATTATTTCTCAATAATAAATGTTTTTTCAACTTTCAAGGGGGTGGGGTAGGGGTGAGGGGTGGTAYYGTGTATTTTCCAGGCACATAGTTAAATTCTATAACACAATCAAGTAACTATGTTACAGTACCTTATGTTATCCGAAAACGCTGTGTATATCAAAAATTAATTTGATTTTGCATTATTGGCCATCTAAGTGCCTTGAAATTGTCCTCTATGTTTAAAAACCTCCAACCATTGCTGACAGTCCTAATTCAGCAAATCAACACAATAATGCTTCGGGGGAGGGGTGCTCTGTGGTGCGGGAGCTCGGCTTTAGACTGAGCTCCGGGGAGGAGCTTTATACAAATAGGTGGTGCTTTGTACCAGCAAGCGTTTAGACAGCTCCACGTGACTACCACAGGAGATTCAGATTTGTGATGAGGGAATGACATTATAACAGGGTACGAAGCTCCAAAAGGTTGATTTTGCATAATACCCCCCACCCCTCCACCTCCCACAATGCTTACTGTTTGCCAGTGATTCACAAGAAAATTTAACCACATCACACCTGTTTTAAAATGTTGTCATTGGTTAACAAATCATTTTAGAATTCATTAAAAAATGTTTTTAAATATTCTTACCTCTGCTCACCTATCTGAGCTAATACATGCTTGCCTACCTGCCCGTTCTCCCAGGTCTGACCAAAAACTAGGTGTAACCTAAAAGGGGGCCTTTTAGTGTGGCAGGGCCAAAACTGTGCAGCAAATTGCTTTTGCACACCAGCCAGGCATGGACCGTATAGCTGCTTTTAAATCTTTGCCTAAAACTCTTTTTGCTTTTTTAGTTTGTGTTGTCTTCTAAAACATTGATCCTTATGGTTTTGTTATTTTCTTTTTATTCCTTTCTCAGTTTTATTAAATGAGAGTTTACTTGTTTTGTTTAGTACAGCATTCTGTTTCTTGGAGGAGCTTTGTATACAAAATTAGATCAGATGAGYGACTCCTCTTTCAGCTTTAAGAAAATTTGTACAAACAGTTCARTTGAGAATAATGGTATGAGTTTTTGTCACAGCAGTATGTTTGACATKAATTAAACTTGTAAAAAAAACMTCTCRYTAWTTTGTTGTAGAAAYATTYAAAGTTTAAATGAGTCACAGAAATTCCTAAATTACTTTTAGGTTTTATAGAAAATGTTGTGTATTATTCCTCTGGTGTTCCATTTAAATRTTCTTTTTAGATCACTGATTCCAGCTAAAGCAGCAACAACTGGAGCCCTCGTGGAGCTGATGTACCCACCCTGACCCGAGCCTCTGTGAGGTTGGTCCACACAGCGATCTCCTCCCGGGTGCTCATGTCTGGGTAGCGGTTCCTCTGGAAGGTGGCCTCCAGCTCCTGGAGCTGCTGGCTGGTGAAGTGGGTCCTCTGCCGCCGCTGCTTCTTCTTCAGAGAGCCGTCCTCGGTGCTGGACTCGTCCATCTGGTTCTGGTGGGACTTCTCTGTGTCTGCGGAGACTCAGGAGGAAAAGAGTTGGCGTAAGGCAGAGGTTCTCTATTTAATGCAGCAGGAGTTCAGAGCCACTGAAGCAGGAATAAAGAGCAGGAGCAGTTGAACCAAAGTCAGTGAATATATTTATGTTGAAAAGAAAATCCTCTTGAAATGATCCCGTGTTAATCTTTATTTAAATCTGAATTTATTTCTCATTTAACTGAAAGTCTGTTGACAGCTGAGTTGACTGACTTCCTATGATATGAAGCAAAAAAGTATGAAATAAAGCTTGAACTTTCTAACATTCAGAAGTATTGAACCAATATTTTAAAAAGCATAGGATATTAATAGTAGCTTGAAGCAATGGACAATATTTTTACTGAAGATCAAATAAGTGAAGATGTTTTATACTTTCTTTTCATCTTCATTTCACAGAATAATCTGCCTTGGCGTTTAAATTGTGCAGTTATTAACAGTGCCCATGTCTCGTATGACTGACAGCATCATACAGTATTTAAAGAAGAAAATATAAGCTATTGCTCATTATAGTAAATGAAAAATGTAAAAAAAAWTTTTACTGTAATCAGAGTTTTAAGAAGTTATATGGAGCAATTGCTTAGTAATTCTGCTGACTGTCAAAAAACAGTGAAACTATATTAGTACACTCTAAAAATGAAATGTTGGATTTCCTTAACCATGTTATGTTACCTGGTTCCACTTAACTGAGTTGAGTAAATTCAAAGCAATATACCAGTTTTTTCAGCCAAAGAACATGAGTATGTTGCTTTGAATTTACTCAACCCAGTTAAGTGGAACCAGGTAACATAACATGGTYAAGTAAATCCAACATTTCATTTTTAGAGTGTACATTATTAGAAAAAGCAGTTAAAACATCAAAGACAAAAAAAAACAGTAGCTTTACCTGTGGTTCAAAAAAAGGTTACTCATACAGATGATAGATTGATACAGAAACCCATATATTTTATATATTTAGCACTGACAGATAAATTATTGCACAAATAAAATATCTCATGTCATCAAAGTGAAGCTGTAGGTTGAACATTTTTATTATAATAGCTCCTTCAATTTGGCACAAAAATACTAAAGTGTCCATCTGTGTATGGAGGTTAAACTAAAGCACCAAATCAAAGTATTCAAGTTACAAAGGTTAATGAGGGACACCCACAAGAAAAAAAAAATTCCTTTGACTTGTTTCCAGGTTTTACAATTAAAGTCAAAATGTGGAGGAAAATATTAACATAGTATTTTCAGAATAAAACTGAAATGACACAAATATGCTTAAAATTTTAGTTGTTTTTTGGGGGCGGGGAGCTTAAGGAGGAATAAAAAACAAACCTTTGTTGGTGCAATAACATACAATACCCACATGCCTTGAACAGATGAACCAGTGACTTTATAGTTTAAATAGAACGGAAAATAATTTAGTCCATATCATAACTTAGATATACCCAACTTGTCTTCTCCAAATTATCAGTTTAGACTGTAGTGTCAGTTTTACAGGGGAACCACAGAGATATGAGCTTCTGATGATTCAGGAGTAATTTGAGGCCAAACGTCTGTCTGATGTTTTAAACTCTTATTGTGAAGGGAATTCTATGAATTACACTTCTATAGGAGGATAAACCACACCTTGAATTAGTATAAAAAAGTCTTGTGTTATTATATTGGAGTTTAAGTGAACCCACTAAAACTGAACAAATCAGGTTCAGGAGCACAAATAGATGTACTTCTTCAGTTTTAAAATACTGTCTTTTATTTTCCAATTTTTCTACTTTAATCTCTAAACCTGGAAAGGAAAATTTGTGTAACCCTCATTTTTAATTGGCACTAATACACTGTCATGCCTAAGTTTTGTTTATATGTAAATGCACTTCCTTCATATAAATTTTGGTTAAAGATTACATTTATGTTGTGTTCATTGCTTAAAAACACTCTCAAAACGGAACAAAGTATATTCAAATCTGAAGCTGTTTACTTGCTGATTTGTTTCCGAAGCTACATGACCACCAATAAACTGACACTCCTCACATGTGAAACAGTGTGTGGTCAACTCCATATATGTTAATAAACCAACCTGATCCCAGCTGAATGTAATCGGATCAGATTTGATCTAAATAAAATCCCTCCGACGCCCCCAGGACACGCACACAAAAAAGAAGGACGAGCGGCAACGTGACGTTGGACCAGGAGGACGGCTGCAAACAATGCCTTACATGCAAAACTCTTCAGTGATTGTTTTGCCCCCAGCGCAGTCGGTTTAAAGGACCACACATCCATGTTATGTCTGCCAAGCTCGCCTCTCTGCCAGATCTCGCTCCCGCAATTTGAGGACCTCACAGAAAGGAGTGAAATTAGCTGGCCGGGTAATCCTGTGGATCAGGCTTTTGTGGCCGGGGCAGGTTGGGCTCTGTTTGGCGAGGGCTTAGCTCTCTGGGAGCCGTTCGAAATGATCAGCGGGGTTTAAAAAGAGGCTCCGCAGGGCCACCAGCAAAACCAATAAGGGCCAGGCCGGGGCTGTTATCTGCCAGTAAACTGACACTGGGTAAGCTGTCACTTAAGGCCAAAGTCTATAACACAATACAGAGGAAAGGCCGGGGCCTTTTTAGAGTAACTCGCCGAGCAACAATAGGAGCAATCTGACTGATAATGTACGGACATGACAGAGGTGCTCCGGGTCAGCGTCTCAGAGGGCTTTAATCTGGAAAGCAAAACACTTTGAGAAGCTTTTAAAGAAATCACTTCTCGACACGAGGACAGGGAAAGAATCTGAACATGTTTAACAWTTTTTAAAATAAAAAGACGACCACATTTCCGAAAGCAATTAACGCATCTGGAATATGTTGAGTGTTTTTGTCCAGCTGAGGACTTTTGAACCAGTCTACAAGAAGTCAGGATATTAAAAAGCATTTTTTAAACATGATTTTACATTAGAGCAGATTGACAGCCTGAGGCCCAGGCGTCAGCTAGGTGTGTTCAGGTGTGGCTCTGAAGAACTGAGCACACATTTAAGCTCGTCATTATTCTGGTCTTTGTAAAGAACCAGAATACTGTTTAAACTGTAAGAAATCTAACTGCAGTAATGATTACACAGAAGACCCCCCCCCCCAACCCCCCCAGCAGGCATGAACAGTGTATCCACTGGTTTAGCAAAGAGACAAACACAAAAAAAGACTTCATAGAGGATATTTATTACTTTATTG